ATTTTCAAACAAAAATCAATCAATATGTGCATACAATTCTAATAATAATTATAATAAACACTTTATCCCAAACAACAATAATAATCATACACAATGAAACATGAAAATGATGGAAAGTTCCACTTTCTCGACATTGTCATGCAACGCCTAGAAGATAGAAGTCTCCAGATGTCAATTTACCGAAAGCCTACATTGGAAAGGACAATACTTATATTTTAATAATTTTTGTCCAAATAGCTTTAAACGAACACTAGTCAAGACTCTATACTATAGAGCTAGGAAATTATGCTCTACAGAGAAATTAGAGGAAGAATTTATGTTTCTCGAAAAGATGTTGAAAAGCAAACGTTACCCTCAAAGGTTCATTAACAAGTATGGAAGATCTGAAGGCTCAAATGTCAAACAAATCACAGTGGAAGAAAGCCCATAGACAATCAACTTGATTTTAAAGGTGAAAATATTACAGCAATTGTCAACAGAAGATTGAGGATGTCACTTGGCAGAGCCTATCCTGGAGCTAAATTGGTTCCCATCTATTGAACAACTTGCTCTTTGGTACAGTCAAAAACCGATAGATATCCTTATCATGTATCTAAGGGAGCAGTTACATTGGAAAAACAGAAAGAAAGGCATACCTCCGATTTTCTGAACAAGTACCAAAAATCCTTTATCTAGAGGGAACAAATACGCTAAATAGTGGCATCGCCAGGTATCTCCTTGACACGGGTCATGAGGTGGACGTCCAAACATCGTTTAAAATTATCAATAAGTATAAGAATTCAATTCTCCTTAAGTTTGCCGAAGCAATCTCTATCAAATTCCTAAAACCTGATTTATGCGTACAGAAAGAAGCTATTATCAGCCTTTTGAATGGTCTGGTTACTGGATATATTCACTCCTCTCTTTCATCTAATTACGTAATTTTCTATAGTTTGGTTTGTAAGGATTAGTTATGTTTTACGAGTTGATCACGGACTGATATCAGTTAGAGAACCATTGAAAACCAGCTGGGAGTACTGGACAGCTGCTGTTTCATCCTAGTTTGGGAATCGTCAGCAGTACGCAGCCACTGGGATTCGAGTCCAGGACCTTCCGGTTACTAGGCAAGCTCGTATACCATTCAGCCACTGGGACCCGATTCAATGGCTCATGAATTCTAACTTCTACCAATTCGTGATTTAGAGCGACTTCAACCATTGTATTTGGTGGGACATCCATCCACACACGTGACAACTAATTGGACCTCGCTGGTCACGACTTCTCACTAGAACTCCAGGAAGCTCCATCCTGTAGCAAGTCACTAGCGAGCATCAGATTAATTTTCTATAGTTTGGTTTGTAAGGATTAGTTATGTTTCACGAGCTTGCCTTGTAACCAGAAGGTCCTGGGCTCGAATCCCAGTGGCTGCGTACTGCTGATGATTCCCAAAGTAGGATGAAACAGCAACTGTCCAGTACTCCCTGGTTTTCAATGGTTCTCTAACTGATATCAGTCCGTGATCAACTCGTAAAACATAATTACGTAATGCCGAAAGTTTCCACTGTTTATGGTCATTATAGATCGGGAAAGTGTTTATTATTATTAGCAATGTGTGCATTTATTGAGTGATTGATTTTTGTTTAAAAATGAACTCTCTGTGCAATTATGTTGAAATTGCTTCTGTAGATACACTCGATGATGTTTTTGGGCTGTAAGCAGCTGATGAGAAGCCAATGAAATAAACAATGATGATGCCATTTTATTCTGCACAAAACCTCTGTTGTTCTTGCTTTATTCAAATTACTATTATTATTATCATCATCATTATTATCGATTTCAGACATCTTGCTAGTGAAGTCATATACATGTGGGAGGTTATACACTGACACCTGCATATATATATGCATTCCCTGTATAGATATATACTGGTAACAGAAAAATCTCAATTTCGTCATCACTGATTTTCTGATATTACTTGGTAGTGTCATTATGCTATGCATCATTGTACCAAAATAGTATACCTTCCATTATTAGTACTACATTCCAGGCATAACTGATCAAACAGTACGTATGTGTAGTTGAATAGACAGACAGACAGACAGATAGGCAGACAGACAGACAGATAGATCGACAGATAGATAGATAGACATATAGATAGATAGATAGACATATAGATAGATAGATAGATAGATAGATAGATAGATAGATAGATAGATAGACAGATAGATAGATAGATAGATAGATAGATAGATAGATAGATAGATAGATAGATAGATAGATAGATAGATAGATAGATAGATAGATAGATAGATAGATAGATAGATAGATAGATAGATAGATAGATAGATAGATAGATAGATAGATAGATAGATAGATAGATAGATAGATAGATAGATAGATAGATAGATAGATAGATAGATAGATAGAGAAGTAGACAGATACTTATCATGGAGGATTCACTCCACTATCTGCTTGATACTGTCAATGGCATTCAAGCGGGCTGATAATATATACTACTTATAAATTGATGTGAGTATTAGGATAATGCCTACAGGAACCAGTAGCGTGCCTGCTAGTCAGTTCTGAGTGATCTGAAGACTAGACGCTAACTGTGACCGTTTCAAACGATGATTTCTTATGTGGAACTGTGTAAATTGTAGATAACGAATTTGATTCTATGCAGAACCCCTTCTACCCGAGTAGGTGTTTAGTAGAATTCCGGTGGTTCCAGTTGATCCGACTATTTGAACTGAGTGAATTTAGATGCTTCATTGGTAAGGTTGGTGAAAAAGGAGTGAAATGACACTTGTATGTCTAGATCACTTCGATGTGGCTATCACAGAACTTCTCAGTGACTTGAGTTTTTTAAACTATTAAAATCAATTAATAAGTACTATATAGTGGGACAACAGTGTCGTCTATACTGCCATATTAATTTGTTCATTACATATATCACACACTCTGTAATAATATTTTAAACACACTCTGTGAAACAGTTTTATTGTTTACTGGATGACACAATTTCGAACACAATTCATTATTGTTCATAATAATATAATCAATTATAACCACACAACTTCGAAACTTGAGTTTTATAGTTTTCTTTGTTCTTCCCTATTTGTCGTAGAGGTTGTAGAATTTTCCAGATGTTCAGCTGGATAAGCGTTGAATTATTCCCATTTCACGTATTCCCTCTCAGTTAATTCTATAAATACAGCTTCCGTTATCAATCTCTCCCTCCACCCTGCTTTTACATTAGATTTTACAAGTGTCATCTTTTCCCATCCTGTTGTTTGGTTGTGTGCAGTTGCATTTAGTGCTATACCTGAACTATTCTCCAGATACCTGTGGAACTAATTAAACAAAACAATTTAGTTTATCTAATACCATACCTGCAATGATTGTCAGGTCAAATACATAGGTCAAACTAGTAGAACAGGGGCAGTCAGTCAGACTAGCCGTGCATAAAAACCAAGCAGCAAAATCTAGATTAGTTGACCCGAATAAGATAAGAAATCTAGAGAATAGTTCAGCTATACCACTCACTACATACAATTACACACAACCATACAATAGGATGGGATGGTAAAAGATGACAGTTTTAAAGTCTAATGTAACAGCGTGGAGGGAGAGATCGATAATGGAAGCTTTATTTATCGAATCAACTGCAAACACGTGTAATAGGAATGATTCAACGCATGTGCACCCAAAACATTTGGAAAATTCTACTACCCCAATGACGAAAAATGGGAGAGAACAAAGGAAACTATAAAACTCAAGTTTCGAAGTCGTGTGATTATAATTGATATGGTTATGAGCCACAATAAATTTTGCTCGAAACGTCATCCAGTAAATAATAACACTGTTTCGCACTGTGTGTGGTACATCTAATAAACAAATTAATATGGAATTACATACTCCCACAGTGCTCAAGTTGTACACATAGATCAGTTTCGTCTATAAGCCTTTCAACGCTGTGTCTGTTTACCAATTACTAGAAACTAGTTGCTTAAATTCATAACACAAAAAGATCCTGTTTGTTATAGGCTACTCACTAATAATACTGAATGATCATCGGAATGTTTGAGAAATGAAGAAAAAATCAGGTACCTGACCAACTGAAATTCGCTACACCAATCTAATTGATAATATGATCGGCTCTCGCAAGCTGATGCTTTTGGATATGACCACCACCCATGTCGTAGTGGTATTGTCGCTCTACTTACCTGTTATACTCTTAACTACCGTATAAGTACTCATCAAAAAATTGCACTTTCTTAACCTAAATGATATTTTCGTGCGTTATATGATTGCAAGTAGTATCAAACTATTTTTTTTCCTTCACGTTCCCAGTGGAACATAGGGCTTCAAGCTAGAGGCTTGAAGTTTCTGTAGCAGTGTTTATTTTACAGGATGGGGTTGCTAGTCTCATGCCCAACATTTCCTCTTCACCAGCTTTATTTCTGGTTTAGCGAGGTAAAGGAGTGCGTCGGCCGGGGGTTGAATCCCATAGCATGTGCATGGTCGGCGAGCGTCCTAACCGCTATACCACCGACGCACTTAGTATCGAACTACACTACAGCTGAATCAACTCTTCACAGACTGACTGACCTGACATGCACAAAATGTCACTCTTGTGGCTTATTAGACAAGCTGGTCAATAGTTTTGGTGTTTATGAGAGGAGCACAATATATCACACACTGAAAAACAAGATTACCTAGCTGAAGGAACTTGGATAGGACAGTGTGGAACTTTTCAGATGCTACAAGTAGTTACTACCGATTGAATCAACGTGCAGAAAGCAATGTTTTATATCTCGTCTGGGAATGACAAAATAAGAGCTACTGTATGTGGTTCTTAGAGTGATTTAGGTTGACTAATCATAGTTCTGTGACATTCTTTTTTAGACTTATTGGTATACATAGTATCGGTAAATTTCATTAATTGTCAAACACCGTTTGACCAAGGTCATACAGATCGATTAACTCCTTCTTATCATAAAATTCTCTACCGTTTACAGGCTATGCAGACTGTGAATCCAACTCCACATGCCAGTGTACAAGTGGATCTTTTAACACGATCACAATCAGAAGTAACTCAAACAGAACCAGAAATGGCAGTGGAAATATTGAATCGGCCAACTTTAGTAGATGCCTCAGTGGAATCTGTTGAACAACGTGGAAATCGTGAACAACCTACTGACGCTTTTAGTAAGTCAGGGGTTTGTTTCTTCATTAATTTAACACTTTTATGCTGATAATGTATCATTTTGTTTGACAGAAACTATTTATTAAGGCTCTTTTTTAGTCTACAGTAACCCAATAGTGTAAAAATCGTCTTATCTAATGCAACAGAATCTTTTTCACTGACGTAATCTCCACTATTGTAATGTGGATGGTTTGTATAACATCATTGTGGAGACAGCTGGCTGCAATCCAAAAATAGTAGACAGCAGTTTACGTCAATGTTAAGTTCCGAATCTGGGTCATGAGAAAAAAACAATAACAAAGCTTAACCTTGAGGAACTTACCAACCAATCACAGCGGAGTTAAAGTGTGAAAATACGATTCGCAGATATATGGCTTAACTTCCTGAGAAACGGTCAAAAGCTGTACAGAATAACTTTTAGCAAGAAAACAAACAATCAGAAGAGGTTGCTTCTCCACTGACAATAATGTACATGGAAATCTATAAATATCTCTTGATTTTCTCAATAAACGATCTGTTGTCTGGCCCTTGTCTTCTGTCGTTACATTATAATTATTGTTCCCTTTGGTTCCAAGTGGAGCATAAGGTGTCAGTAGCAGATCTCCATTCTACTCTACTTTTCTGCTGTCCTTTTCAGCTGGTTCCACGATTGCTTACAAGTTTTCATTCCTTCTCCAATATTTGACCCTCTCCCGACTGTTTGTCTCCTTTTCACTTACCACTCGAGAGGTTACCTGGTGCGTGACGTCAATGAACTATGTCGAATCAATTTTCATTTCCTTCTGTATATCTGAATAAGGAAAGAACGAACAAATTTGCAGGATAATACGAGCTCGTTTTATTTCACAGATTCTCTTCAACTGTGTACATCCTGAACAAAATGTAACCCAAGTTACAAAATTTCTGACCTTACTTTTTCATAAAGTTACTTTGAGTTATGGGGAGGAAGTATAAGCAACGTCATGTCATATATGATGTAAGTAAACGAATTATTCAGTGTTAAAAGAGTAACTATTTATAGAATCATTAGATAAGAAACACCGGACATGCAGTGGGAATTAGCCTGGCCTTCAAAATAATCAATACACAAAGAAAACCATGGTTACTTCGGTTCTCAAAAGCCAATGGTATCAAAAAAAGCCTTCGATCCAACCTCTGTGTACAGAAAGATACAGTGACAAACCTCTCACTACCCTGGTAATCGTAATTGGTTCGTTCGTGTGCCTTTGTATTTTGTTCTGTTGCATAACATTCCACTTTATTTTTATTATTATTATTATTATTGTTCCCTTGGGTTCCTAGTGGAACATAGGGCTTCAACTGCACGTCTCCACTTCTTTCTGTCTTCTGCTGTACTATTCACTTGCATCCATGTTAGTCCATGCTGTTTCACCTCCTCTTCACACGATCTCATCCATGTCACCCTTGCACCGACGTCCCACTCGCCGCTTCCCTTTCGGGTTCCACTCGAGTGTTGGCCTGACGCGCGATGTCACCCAACGGCCCCCCCAGCAAGTGTCTAATCCATCTCCACTTTCTTCTGCATATTTGTTGAGCTATTGGTTCTTGTTTCGTTTGTCCCCATAGTTTCTTGTTGGTGATTCTTTCCAGCCATCTGATCTTCAGTATAGAGCGAAGACAGTTGTTGACCACTTTATTTTGATTTTCACTTATTAATGTTCCGAATCTAATAAACGATTTTGTCAAACTCACAGATATACTTCACTTTTCACTCCCCACCATCTTCAATTCTCCACCATAATATGTATAAATTCACCCTGTTGTTCTACCTTGTATTTTGTCTCTAGTCCATCATCGTTTCAAAGACAAATCTGGACTCCACCTTCTTGTCTAATAATTATAACAATAGTTACTCTTTTAACACTGAATAATTTGTCAGCTAACATCAACTTTGAAATTATGTTGCTTCTAATTTCCACCAAATTTTCACACAGTTCCACTCAAAATCCTTTCCATCACAACATTTCACAGGTGGAATTTACACGACAGACACCTTCAACGTCAACATATCCCCACTTTGATACAGTAAGCGGACATAACAAAATATCGTCAACATTCATCACTCAATTTACGCCAAACATAAACAACGCGCCAATCACTTGTTCAACATACGAGTCACACAACAAAACAACAATCGATCATATCTCAAAATGCTCCAGTGACGAACACAAAACAGGCAAATAGGCTTCAACACTCAAACAACAACAATGACAAGTAGTATTCCTGAGTTGAACAACCCTGGAGATTGCAAATCATTTCATATAAAAATCAAACATATTAAATTGTGGCACGCACAAACTTCGATTTATTCACTAAGGCATGAAAAACAGAACAGTTCATAGATCGACAGATAAACAGACAGGAAGAGAGAGAGAGAGGGAGGGGGAGACAGAGAGTAAACCTTGTTACACAACACACATTCATGTCATCTGAAGTGCGCTAGTTAAATACTGTTACCGATTGTGTACTTAGTGCATGTGTGCGTGTGTGCATTTCTGTTTCCTTGTGTGCTTTGAAAAATCGCATGAGTTGACGTCAACACAAATTTACAATATTACATTTCAACTTGCACAAGTTCACTTATTGATCTGTGACTGCTCCTTCCAACTTGTGCATTAACAAACACCATGAAAATCAAATTTTCTCAAGGTTATCAATGTGCAGTTGTAAAATATGATTCCAAAAACTACACTGAACACAAATTTCAACGTTGACGTGTTTTAAACGGCGAAAATGTTGAATAATGACACAGTGTAGACTGGATGGTAAGCATGCAGAGCATTATGATTGGAATCTTTCTCTTGGGTTCCAGTTCTCTGTGGTCCACTTCATCTGGACACACGATTAGCCATAGTCTCTCATCTCCGCGTCACACGACAACCTGCATGTCACTCTCAGTTTATCACTCAACTAGTCGTTCCCCACTCTGATTCTAGCAGAGCGACGGACTGGTGCGCGGTGCATGTCGACGATCTCCTCGGCGTATTTCCGATACGTCGGAATGTCTCTTGACAACTGGTCAGGTTCGTTCACAGTGTTTCCTGTCACCAGTTCCTTCTGACCGACTCTCTAATCTTCAGTATGGAGCCAGCGAAGGAGGCAGCTGTGGATAAACTTTCGCAGATGACTGCTGTTGGAAATGCTTTTGGTGACGCGATCACCAAGTCTCTGGACCATTTAGAAACACCGACTGACTTAACATTGGTGTTGTAAATCCGAAATTAGTTATGTGTACTGAGCGCAGAAGATATCCAAACTGACTTCAGAATGATGAAGATCTGTGTTACCTTGCCGATCCTGCCTAGTTTTCACATCCTAATTCAGGATGTTACCTGTGGCTGAAACGATGCTGTCTAGATAAGTACATAAGTAGAGGTATCCTAGTACACGCCTCCAATTCAGATAGCGAAAACAGGAGTTCGATTCATTAAAGACACCCATTCTATAAATTAGTGAACAAACTGATATTCTTCTCGACAGTTCACTCTTCATTATCTTCTTCGAGTGTATATCCATAACAGTTACAGAACAGCTGACATCGACGGCATTCATTTTTTTTTTCAAACAATATCGAATCAGTGAGATTGAAATTCCAAGACGTTTATGCAACTAGATTGCTTAGAAGTGTGACCAGTGATTAATGTGGATTAGGAAGCTATGGAGATAAACCAGGGAGACCTGAACAGTTGATTCTGCCCAGCTTCGAACTCTCCATCTGTACGTTCTCATCCAAGGCTGCCTCCTTCGCTGGCTCCATACTGAAGATCAAATAATAATTTCCATACTTATCATCCAGTCAACACGATGTCACTATTCAACATTTTCGCCGTTTAAAACACGTCAACGTTGAAATTTGTGTTCAGTGTATTTTTTGGAATCACATTTTACAACTACACATTGATAACCTTGAGAAAATTTGATTTTCATGGTGTTTGTTAATACACAAGTTGGAAGGAGCAGTCACAGATCAATTAGTGAACTGTTGCGAGTTGAATAATAGTGTGCATTTGTGTTGACGTCAACTCACGCGATTTTTCAAAACTCGAAACGAAACACAAACACACACACGCAAGTGGTATAAGTATTCTACTAGCACACTTTAGATAGACATGAATGTGTGTTGTGTAGCAAGGTTTACTCTCTGTCTCTCTCTCCATCTCACTTTTCTGTCTCTCTATCTATAAACTGTTCTGTTTTTCATGTCTTTGTGAATAAATCGAAGTTTGTGCAATTTACTGTTTAGTTTTTATAAGGCATTATTTGCAATCTCCAGGGTTGTTCAACTCAGGAATACTATTTCTCATTGTTGTTGTGTGAATGTAGAAGCCTATTCACCTGTTTCGTGTTCGTCACTGGAGCGTTTTGAGATGTGATCGATTGTTGTTTTGTTGTGTGACTCGTATATTGAACAAGTGATTGGCGCGTTGTTTGTGTTTGTCCTAAATTGAGTGATGACTGTGGACGATATTTTGTTTTGTCCACTTACTCTCTTCAAAGTGGGGATTTGTTGACGTTGGAGGTGTCTGTCGTGTAAATTCCACCTGTGAAATGTTGCGATGGAAAGGATTTTGAGTGGAACTGTGTGATATTTTGTGGAAATTAGAAGCAACATAATTTCACAGTTGATGTAAGTTGACAAATTATTCAGTGTTAAAAGAGTAAGTATTGTTGGAATTATTAGACAAGAGGGTGGAGTCCAGATTTGTCTTTGAAACGGGGATGGACTAGAGACAAAATACAAGATGGAACAATAGGGTGAATTGATACACGTCGTTTGTCCTCAATTTAGTGATGACTATGGGCGATATTTTTTTTATCTAACCTTATTATAGCCAACGGTTTGTGGGGCGATGTGGGAATTTTTTTTGCGATTTCCACTTTTGAGGTGTTCGTATGTTTAGCGGTTTTGATGGGAACTGTGTGATATTTCGCGGAGACTGTGAGGAACTGTGGTTTGCTTTTGTGGGGAGAGGTGGGAGCTTTGGTATAGCAATTTCACCTGTGAAATGTTTGGATCTTCAGCGGTTTTGATTTGGAATTGCGTGATATTTCGCGGATACTGTGAGGATCTGTTGTTTTCTTTGATGGCATATTGGCATGTGCCCACTGGGTTTACTGTTGATTGGTTGCAAGCGTTCATACTTCATCAGGTGAACTACATTGATGAAATGTTTCTGCTATAAGAAGATAAGGAAGATATTTGTGTTAATTAAATATTTTCTGCTGAGTTTATTTTAATTCTGTTTCTGTGATAGCTGTTGTTTTATTTTGACACAAATTCTTTTGATTCTTTTCCTGTGTTTGTTTAAATTGAGGATTAGTTCGCTTTCAGTGTTGATGAAGTGGGAGAATTTGATTGCAAGGCGTTTTTTGCATATTGTTGTATGCAGATTTTGTGTCGTTTCAGGATTCCTCAGTGAGGCTCCATTCTAATCAGCCTCATTGTGACAGCTGATATACCGATATTGTACGTATAAACACGGAATGCGTATCAGGTATTTGCGTTTACACAACGTCAACTACCTGAGGAATATGATGCATCTACCATCGAGGAAATGGTTATTGTTTTAGTCCTCCGTGAATTCCGGATATCAGCTTCTGCCTTGTTCTGTACCTTGCAGCATTTCACGCGTATAAACTCAACATGGGTTGAATCCAGAATCTTCACAGCATACTTAATTCTATCTCAGTAACTATATACCCAACGAGTTTTCGTTGTGCTTGGGTACTTCTTGATGTTCCACAACAAAGACGAAATCGCTCTTTTGTTTCCCGTGAATTTCATCAATATTTCTCTAACTGTTACGAAGGATTCATCCACCCTGAATCTTATTAAATTCTTGTAAACCAACACCCCAGGTCTAGATTTCCTTCTGATAAATCCTTCCTATTGTATTTAGGAATGGGCAAGTTGTCGAATTGGGACATTTCTGAAGGGAATGCAATCACTTCAATTGCCATAAACAAACCATCTAGAACCTCTTTTCTCGCTATAGATATTGTAGTACACTAAAAAGGTGTTTAGGCTCTATCCTGAGAATCTTAATCAAAGTCACGCGGCTGAATTATATTGCAAACTGTAAACAGATTTTCACCTTATTTCATACCTAAGAGACCTAGAGGAAACAATCAACCATGTTTATTGTTCTTGACTCACAAAACATGTTAATAGTTCGTTGGACTTCATGGTGCATTGCTGATTTTCACTATGAAATATCGTCAGCCATAATCCAGAAGCATTTAATAACTCATATATTCAGAGATGATTCACCTATCAGCTTTTAACATAAATTAACAATCAAATTTACAAACTTCAGGAAAACATAATTATCCTGTACTGTCGTTGTGTGTACTGGTCGCCAGCTGATTTTCTGGTGTTGATAGTTGATATAACTTGAGTGGGATTATGCGTGGGTATAACAATACTGACACAATGGACAGAATGAAAAATAAAATTCGGATTTCCAACTCCAATGCAAAGTCAGTGCTACTTATTATTCGGATCAGACACTTGGCGTGTCATGGAGAGCGATTCGAACAAACCACAGGACTTCATCAACAGCTGTCTTCGCTCAATACTACTCAAGATCAGATGGCCGGCCAGGAAAGATCAGCAACAGGGAGAGATCTCTAGCATTGAACCGCCCAACCCAGCAGGAACCAATTGTGCAACAAATAAGCAAGAGGAAATGGAGGTGGATTGGCCATACTCTGAGAAACCAAACCATCAAGTGACATCAATAGACAGGCCCTCGATCGGAGCCTGGCAGAGTGGGGAACTGTGAGTTGGTCGTCAGTGCGAGAGTGGGGTGACATGGAGGAGGTCATGTGAAGAGGAGATGGAAGCATATGGGCAGACGTGAAGCCAGGTAGAAACGTTGTTCGGGGGAAACCGAACGCAATGGAAACATGTGGCTGAAACCCTATGTTCCTCAAGGAACTAAAGGGAACAATAATATAATAATAATAGACAACTCCACTTATATGCTTGATAAACCTGCCTATCCGTCGGAAGTACCTTCCGCTTCACTGAGCCACGTAAATATTAAAAGACAATCACTGGCCTGTGACTGTTAGGATACAATTTTATTAAGAGAAACACGTCATATATATATTTAGCCACACTGAAATCACCTCAGGGCAGTGAAAACAGACTGTTCTGATTTGTGGGCGATTCGACCAAGACGAAGGTAAGAAAATGAGAATGACATTATACAGCGATCCGTTCAAACCATGAATCATCTAATGAATGATTCCTGTTCTTATTATTATTCTCCCTATCAATTCTGCAGATACACTTCGCGTCTATCTATTAAATCAATTGCCAATCAGTGTTTTATCCGATGAGTCAAGCATGAAAAAACTAAGCGATTGTTCAATATGCATGGAAAATTATCATATCGGTGATCGTGTCATGGGATTGCCATGTTTTCATATGTTTCATCATAGATGTTTGTGCGCATGGATTGAAAAGGTAATTTGTTTGCTTATTGATTTTATAGATTGGTGGTTGTATCATTATTATTCGTGAAGTGCACCTTCTGTTCATGTGCATTTGAAATCTATGCTAATTTTTATTTATTTGGGTAAATGATAATAGTTGTAATCGATAACTCCTAGAAACTAACGGTTGACTGTTGCAGTCTGATATATGATATTTCAGTAGATGGTTAGAGGTGATCGGAAAGAATCCCTGCTTGGTATAGGTCCCATGCATTTATGAATCAATGCCAATATGTCTGACTACAGCGTTGGGTGACACTGGACCGAATCTCAGAAGGGATATAAGTTCTTTCAAGGCTGAAGACATGCCTTGGTGACTGAAGAATGTCAGTAGGCACGAAACCTATATCGGAGGCTTCCTACTGATGATTGTCTCCAACCATATTATGACAACAGTCCAGAGCACACACCGTCATGGCGAGCCATGTTGCGCGAGGACCATATGGCAAACTTGGCTGATAGAGTTCAGTTTACGCCAAAGGACTAGACCGGTGACACTAGCTAGAACTTAGTGTCAAATGAAAGATACAATTATATGATTTATGGAGAACCTTGATAAATTTACTTCATACTGAAGTCCATGTTGAAGCTGCTGTCTAGAAGGAGACAATGAAAGCTATGAAATTAAACCACTGAGCCTGGAGAACACAATCATATCAAAAGTTTATTCAGTTTTTTCAAGGTAAAGGCGTCAATCAACCAATCAATTTCAAGTGTTGGTTTGCAGGGATTTGATTGATTACAGGATTTCAGCATAAGCTGACATCAGTTACAGAACCAGGAAGTACTGGAGAGCTGTTCCGTCCTAGTTCGGGACTCGTCGTCAGTACGTCACCACAGGGTTTCAAACGCAGGATCTGTCGGTTTCAACGTGAACTCGTAGATTATTCAGCTACTGGGATCCAATCCAACGGCCAGCTCATGAATCGCCACTTCGGCTAGTTCATGATCTAGCGTGACTGGCACTACCCATTACCATCTGCGATCTGATGCTCACTAGTGACTCATCCTACTCAGGTGGATGGTCACCTTGGTTCTAGTGAGAATCAATGAACAGTGAGGGACAGCAGGTCGGATGTAAGAACAAATACTCGCCAGCGATGACATTCACTAGTGTCAGTCGCACTATATCGTGCACTTTATCGGCAGAGGGTGGAATTCATGGTCTGGAGATTGAGTCTGGTCCCAGTGAATTAATGCTCTACAAACTCGCCTAGCAACCGAAAGGTCGCGGGTTCGAAACCCCAGTGTCTACATACTGACGATGAGTTCCAAATTAGAACAAAACAGCTGTCCCATACTCCCAGATTTTCCACTGGTTCTCTAATCGATATCAGTTCATGATGAGATTCTGTAATCAATCTGTTGTGTGGAACCACTTCCATTCTGTCATTGACCTACTCAAGCTCATTCAAAAAATGTAGGAGGTTTGATGGAGGACAGAATGTAATCTCAAAGAAACCTACTGCCAAGAAGAAGGACACTTGGAAGATAGCTTCAATATTAATTGAAACCGTAGTCAACATAAGATATGCATAGGGCTCCAACTTGCTTACCAAACGTGGTCTCAAATATAGGGCTCATCAAGAACAGGTGCAGGTTACAGAATCATCTACAATCACGGAAAATTGGCAGACTTCTTCGAATTGACAGAAGTTAGAGTTTACTGGTCACTGAATTCCAGCCTAGTGGTTGAGTGATCAACAAGCTGAACTGGATGCACACAGTAAAAGATTCCGAATAACTTAGTGGTAACGTCTCCAACTGCAGTACTGAGTGACACGGCTGCCAGTCTTAGAAGGAGAAATGAGTTCCTTCAGGATTGCAGATAGGCGCCTTGCTGACTGATGGGTGTCAACAAACACGAGACCCAGGTCAAGTAAGTCTTCCTGCTAACTGCCTTCAATCCTACTAGGCTTCTAGGAATTCCCTGACATTTCCAGTCTCTTCACAAATTAAAATTAAAATTAAATCAAATAGAACATGTTGTGTCTTTTCACAGTTAGTTTACGTTCTTAGACTTGAAGTCGCCATTTCATTGATTTAATGTTTTCCTGCTTACATCTTTAATACTTCCCCAGAATTTACAGTGTCCAGTGTGTCGAATGCCAATCTATGAAGTGGACTAAAATGGGAAGACTGGAGCTTCCATAACAATATATTGATTGCTACTGATATCTTTCAAGACAAAAATAGAGAATTCCAGAATATTCGACGAAGAGTACCAGAGATGTTTCTTTCTTTTTCTGTCTTTTTTAAATGTGTCATTGCAAAGAACAAACAATTTTGAATATATTTCACAAATTTCAAATTCACTACTATCCATTTATGTATGTGTGTGTGTGCGTGTGTAATAAGAATCGACTGACATACCTTTGATTCTGAGAACATATTTCAATTCATTTCGATTTGCTGCTCACATGTGTTGGTGTATGTGTTCTCACATTACCTTGTCATTTACCTGTTACTAGCATAAAAACATTCTGATTCATGTATGTTCATAATTTCTGCTTGAAAAGAAAAAGACAGAACAGCTTTTTCTTACTCTTCTTCTTCTTCGCGTTTATTCAATAATTTTCACTTGGTTTAAATCATGTACAACAAGATTAACATGTTCAATTGTACAATGGTTCATTTGTTTTACTGCTTTGTTTTCATTTGCCGCCAGTATCAAATATCTTGGAAAATGTGTGGGATAAGTTTAATATTTATGCTAAGTTATGACTTCCTGTTGGCATATATATGTCAAGAGAGAATTAATCGACCTCATTTCAGTGAATGGTCGATACTACAGCATGAGGCAATAAAATTAGAGATTAAACGGTGACAAGGATAAATAACGCGGATCAATTCAACATGTGATATGCGAATGTTGCAACAATAATACACAGTCTAGGAGAAAAAACGGATAATAATTACAAAATGAGTATCAACATTGTAATTATATCTTTCTGGAGGAATTATCCAAGCTCTCTTTCAATGGGTGGATTGATTATCCACATACGCAATGGTCCCACTATGTTGTGTTCTCTAAGCTGGATAGTTAATTCGCGAAGCTTCCATCGCCCTACTAGGCGACATCTTCAGCGCATACTTCAATTTGAAGTGGGCTTTTAGATTTCTCCACGAGTTCGTTAATCATCTCTCCCGGTGACCTTGGACGTGATTGGTTGTTTTTGTGTGTTTTAACACCTTCTAAGCTACTTGTATTGTAAATGATTGCTTCTTTGACTTGAAATTTGACCCTTTGTGTGTGAGGTTTTTTTCTTATCGGTTGATAAATTTTGTCTATCTCGATGTGTCTATTGATTGATGATTCACTGAAATACCAGGCAGGCTTCTACAGAATTTCTCTAGCATTTTTGTTGTTTCCTCTCTCTAATATTTGAACATTGTCCCAATCGAATTGATGCCCGTGGTTGTCTGTATTTAGTGATATGAGGGAGTGGATATCATGTATTTTGACGGCTAGATTATGATCATGGATACGAAGACGAAGACGACGTCGACTTTGGCCAGTGTAGTGTTTTTCGCAGTTTTTACAATTTATCTTGTAGATGACGTTGGTTTAATCTTCTTTCGCTTTTGGGTCTTTTGTTTGACATGGAACTGAGTGAAGTGATTTTGTTGGTTTGTGTGCAACGTCAACCGATAAGAAAGAAACCTCACACACAAATTGTGAAAGTTCAAGTCAAAGAAACAATCAGTTCCAATACAAGTAGCCTAGAAGGTGTGAAAACGCACAAAAACAACCAATCACGTCCAAGGTCACCGGGAGAGATGATTAACGAACTCGTGGAGAAATCTAAAAGCTCGCTTCAAATTGAAGTATGCGCTGAAGATGTCACGTAGTAGGGTAATGAAAGCTTCACAAATTAACTATTCAGCTCAGAGAACACAATCACATCAAAATCATCCACCTGAGCTACAAATCTTCTCCATCATCTCTAAATCTTACGAGCGGAACTCGACTTGAAATGTTTCATGGTGTCTACTCTATTCTTAGTACATACAAGCTATTCATATGGAAAGTGAAAAGTCTGTCACCCCTAGGAATAACACTACACATCCTGTGCAAAGCGAACTTCTGTAGATAATCGCTAACCAAATGTTGTAGCAAAGTAAATACCAAATCCACTGACTGGTAATCGCGTGGAAGACAGCAGCTATCATTCAACCGGTATTTAGTAAACATGTTGGTGGGCAGTGGATGAGTAAAAGCCTAGTCAAATGCACGGAAGTGCATTCATCATTCAGTACTGTTGAGTAAGAAACAGGGACAAATAGACATATACCTATTATTTTATTTATTTATTATTCCCTGTGGATTCCCAGTGGAACATATGGCTTCAACAATACATCTCCACTTTGTTCTATTTGGTAATGTCCTCTTCAGTTGGGTTCCCGATTGCCCATAATCCCTCATCTCCTCCTCTTGTAGTTTACTAGCTCTCTAGTTCTCCAACCGGTCCAAAGCCCGCGTAAAGAGAAAAGGTTGCACAAGGTGCTAGCCACCCTACACCACAAAACCAATCAAATTGCTACAGAAACTTCAACGCACAGTAAAAAATATTAAAAATACAAAGCATATAAATAACAAACTTATTCTTCGCTCGAATTGAAGAGGCCTAATGAAACAATGAGCAGGTTAAAGCTTTCGGTAAGTTGGTGAGCCGGTGTGTCTTCTCTAGATAAAAGCATGAATAAGAATGGGAACGTGGAATGCAAGTACTATATACGAGGCTGGCTTGGAAGGCTGCTCAAGTAACCAAAGAAGCGACACCTATACTAGTATGAAACTATGAAGAAAAATTTTTATGTTTTCACGTCTGAAGTCTCACTCCTAGATATGACTATCAAACAACAATATTTACTGTCACAAACTAACCAAATTAGATCAGTGAAACTATTATACTAGAAAACATGCTTTGTCAACATTGGGTTTTTTCCGCTATACATTTCAGCTACTCATGAGTAGTTGGATTGAAAGTCTATGTTTTTTGTGGAATTGGGTAGATTTTGAGTGGTCACCAGATTGACATGAGTATGTATCTGTGTTTTGAAAAGCTTGCATACAGTTGAAGAGTCCCGAACTAAGGCGAAACAGCTATCCAGTACTCCTGAATATATATATATATATCAAAACAATTTCAACACCATTATAATCCGATTTTTAGATGAGCCAAGGATCCTTGAATAGACTTCATATGAGTTCCACTCATAGGCCCCACTAATTCAGAAGAAGGACTGACTTTATGATGAATATAGACTAATGATGATAGTCTTGAATGACCTCTCTACACGTCGTCTGTACCAGTGATACTGCTTGGTGAGGGGTGGGAGCTAGTCGTTGTTTTACTGGCATTAAAACATTGGCACTTCTGTTTAGGATACATTTTATTAACCTTTTTTACTTTCGCACAGTCTCAGCACCCAATCATGCTTTCCTTTTCTCCTACTGTGATTCATTTTTCATTGAATAAGTACACTGTTTCGGTAATATGAACGACTACAATAATACCTTCAAGTACACACATGAGTCGATTCCCGACAGTGGTGACATTTTCAATAATAATAATAATGATAATTAATAGTAATAAAGCTTTATTTCAGACAATATGCGAACATATGGTACAAAACGTCTCAGCGTATTCACTTCCAAAATACTTTTTCCTTGATACAGGATTTACATGTGAAGTAATAATCTGAAGGATATCTTCATTTCGTTGAAGAGTTGCACAGTGTTTACTTGGAAGCAGGTTAAATCAGCACGCAAGTCCATGCATAACACATTTGATATAACTGGACTACTGAAACAATGATAAATCCAGATGAAATTAAGCATTTTGCTGGGAAGCAATTTAGCGTTAGCCCAGTGATTTAAGCAGGCCGACTTCTATTTTAGTACTCTCAGTTTCCGTAACTGTAGCAGCTACTGGTCGTCTCACTAACCAATTATAGCATTTACACAATATTTAACCAAGGTATAATTTCGATTTCTCGAAGAAAGTATCTCAGAAATCACAATAACATACGGCTTACCGACTCTAAGAGACTTCCTGCTGTGACATTGATTGTATCTGAATGCATAGTCGTCAGTAGTCTGGCCGTACCTCTGAAGAGTTACCATCCTTCCACATATGCGTATTTTAGTGCTCCTCCTCAACACATTTTCCACACAGAAGTCAGAAATTAAATCTGGGTGAGACTTACAACGAAGATTATTAACAGTGCCCATTTGCAATGCTGAGAAACTGACTGGTCAATCCAAGGTCACTCCGCTGGGGTATTTATTTTCCACTCTTGCCCCCTTCTTACCGGTAATCTGATATTCAGTATGGAGCTACAGAAGGCAGCTGTTGATAAAAGTCTCCAGCATGTATATCACATCTCTGAATCATAAAGAAGCACTGAAGTGGTTCAGATTAGTTCTAAGAATTCGGATCATACTGCTTCTACTGGGAGCTTTAGATCTCCACACTGACTTCAGAGTGATAAATGTCTATCTTGTCCCCCCTGCTGATGCTGACTGGCTCTGATATCTTTCGTTCCCAAAGGAAATTTTAGTGAAATTCTACCTCCTCGAACTGTGTAATCTGCAAACAGAAAATAAGATTCACTGTATTATCACTTTCAGGATTGGTCACGAACTGACGTCATTTAGCGAACTACAGAAAAACCTGGGAGTACTAGACAGTTGTTTCTTCATAGTTTGGGATTAGTCGTCAGTACGCACCCAAGTAGCTAGCCAGAATCCGAGTAGCTTCAAGTGATTTAATGCTTGCTCAGGTCAGTAAGACTGTATACAACACTAATAAGCTCAGCCCAAAACGACCGAAATAGCCAATAATGTGTTTGTATTACTCCAATCTAGTTAGAATTACTACTGGTCGACTTCGCCGAGGCCAATCCACTCATATCAACCAATAAGTAGTATATGTCTATGGTCATAAAATTCCGCTCTCCAATGATTGTATACTTACTTACACAGTAATCGGAATTTCATTGAAACTGTGACTTCTCTGCCTCCCACTGTCCTTCCAGGTGCTTATATTATTTGTTAAGCATTTTTCTCTCTAAAACTTGGATTTTTCAAACTTCCCTACAATATTTAACACTTGAACCGTTAATCTTAAAATTGTATAAATTTTCGACATGTTTTTATTACTAGACAACCATACACACACTCAGAGAGAGAAACAAATACCCACAGACATCGTAAATAGTGTAAAATTCTGCCCTGTCAATAATTTGTAGCGATCATTCCTTTAAAAATAATCATATTGTAAGGTGGAGAAGATTGACATCGATCAAAAGCAGGTGTGTTGAGGTAAAGTAATTAAAATGTTA